ACTAACCTCACCTGCAGTGAGGGGGACACGTGCAGCGGTTGCCTCCCTTGACGACCCTGTGTTTGCCACCCCCAAAGCTTCGAGCCTGCTTCTCCGCCTTGATCGCCCTTGTGTTGGCAGGCACAATCTTCGTGGCCTTGGTCGGGACAGCACATAAGGCTACCTTGCTAGCGCGAGCAGGAAGCTCTTGACTAGTCCGAAGCTCAACCACTAATTACACTGCTTTCCAGCAATCCGATCACAAAAATGTCCTTAGTTTCGGGTCCTGGTAGGGCTGCTGGGACTGAATCCAGCTTGAACCTTAGTGTCGAAAGACATGTGGATTACATCAAGAACTTGGACAGCGTGCGTCATTCTTACTATAACCATGGTTCTTCTCTTCATGATGGGGAAGATGGTTGACAGGTGATGCTAGAGGAGGGATGAGCTAGAATATTGGCTTACAGAACACCTTCGCCTGAATGGGGTGTATTGGGGCTTGACAGCTCTACATCTCCTTGGCCGTCCCGATTTCCTTCCTCGTGAAGATACCATCGACTTCGTTCTCTCGTGTCAGCGGGAGAATGGAGGCTTTGGAGCAGCTCCGGGCCATGATGCACACATGCTGTACACAGTGTCGGCAGTGCAAATTCTCGTAACCCTAGATGCGGTGGATGAGCTGGAGAAGCGCGGTCTAGGAGGAAAAGAGAAGGTTGGCTCTTTCATCGCAGGGCTACAGGACAAAGACACTGGCGCTTTCATGGGTGATGAATGGGGTGAGAGAGATACACGCTTTCTGTATGGCGCGTTTAATGCACTCTCCCTTCTTGGGCTTCTTCACACAGTTGATGTACCCAAGGCCATTTCCTATGTCCAGCAGTGTGAGAACTTAGACGGTGGCTATGGCATCCAACCTGGGGCTGAGTCACATGCCGGTCAAATCTTCACTTGCGTAGGAGCTCTGGCAATCGCCGGACGACTGGACTTGGTAAACAAGGACCGTCTTGGGGGCTGGCTCAGCGAAAGACAGGTTGAAAATGGTGGTCTGAACGGAAGGCCCGAGAAACTGCCCGATGCATGCTATAGCTGGTGGGTTGGTGCGAGCTTGGCTATGATCGACAAACTCCACTGGATCGATAGTGGCAAGCTCTCTGCTTTCATCTTGCGCTGTCAGGTATGTTATCCCTTTCGCCATGACATTGCCGGCATGGCACTGACGCAGTTCAGGATTCGGAGGCTGGGGGCATCGGAGACAGACCAGGCAGCATGGTTGATGTGTTTCACACCCATTTTGCCATCGCTGGTTTGAGTCTGTTGAAGTTCAATGGCATCCAAGAAGTAGATCCAGTCTAGTGAGTTATGCAACCTGCGCAATGCAAAATTGCGGATGGCTAACCTTGTCGTTTAGTTGTATGCCGAAGGCAATTACACAGAAATATTTGCAACGGTAATCTTTGGCTGTATGATGACATCACCTCTTGAGTACTTTTTCTTGACGTAGGCCTCACCTCCTGCAATCTAATAACCCGTTTTTCTTTTTCTCCATGGACTATGGGATACAAGGCAGGAGAAGAGTGATTGGCACTGTGACTTATTTCCGCTTCATACCCCCTCACAATAGCCTTACGGAAAGGCTGTTAAGACACAGTGGCACATGAACCGTAATTATAGTCAAGATATACAGTAGCTAGTTAATCAACATGGAAGATGAATAGACTTTGTTGTATCCTTGAAATTAACTGATAGTCTCGAAGTGATTAGTGTCTGCATCGTAGCCGTAACTCACCCAATGCTTCTTTATATTGCCAGATGCTAAACGCATGCCGTCCGTTTCGTCTGCAACTACTCAAAGGCTATGGCCATCATAACGTCTACTAGCCATGTAGCTAACGTTTATCTTTACTGAGACGTTGGTCGATTCGTGGTCCTTTCCTTACTGCTAGTTGATTATATATATATACTAAGAACACACGTTTTCAAAATCCCAGTAGTAAAACTCGGGCCCCCAGAACGGACAAGATATATTTATAGTGTCACTCAGTATTGGTAAGTAGTAGTGTGTAGTTCGACAAGCGGTACTACTACTCTACTTAGTACTAGTAACTTAGTAAGTTGTTTGGCTCACCTGGTATTCCAGTCTTCAGACGTACTAGTTTATAGAATATAGATAGAATGCTAAATTGGCTTACGGTAATGCCTCTCACACTGGTTGCACCGAAATGATGAATTGTGTGATTGATAATCGGACTGTGTATCATACATAGATACGTTTCCCGTGTCTATGCTGAAGTATTGTGTTCTACCTACCCACATAAACGAAACTACTGTGGTAACTACTACCTAGTACTGGTCAAATTATAGTATTTCATTGATTTTGCATTGGTGTCACCCATTGAAATTCCCAAAATAGAGGTTTTGCAATTGGTCTGAGTGTCAACTATGAGCAATCGATTGGCCTACTGTATTTGCTACCCTGTCTGTATTGATACCTGCCTGCCTGGAGGAAGCTGGTCTTGGTAGCTCTTTCTCCAATTGTGGAATAACAGTGAGAAAGTCAGCCGGGCAGGTCCCCCATCTTCCTGTAACGCCTTTTCTTCTGGAGCTTCTCATCCTCTCCTTCCGAGGCCGGCTTATCACATCTGTTGTTGATAGAAAGTCCTCCTTGTTGTTTCCTTCGATATCTTTTCCAAAATCAGGAGCCGGTCCCTATTACACCACTTTCCGAAATGGATGCAGCTGCACTTTTGTGCAATATCTGCCCAAAGCGGCCCACATTCAGCGATGTATCGCACTTGCTTACCCATATCTCGTCAAAGGCTCACTTGTCCCATTATTTTAAACTTCAAGTACGCAGTCATCAAGAGCAGCAAGCAGTAGCCTTGCTACATGAATATGACAGATGGTATAAGAGAAACAACTTGGCCAAGTTGCTTTCGGATCGGATGTCCTCGAAAGAAGCCCGCAAGAAAAAGATACACGAGAAGTCATATACGGAGAGCGAGACTGATAATGCTACAGTGCCAGTATCCACTGCAAGTCCTTCATTCCAGAACCCACTGCCTGATTATCTGGACCCGCGTCTCTCTCATTCGTATGTCATTGCGGAACCTGAGACTGAGGACACGAACACGCCATACTCTTCAGCCAATGCCGCTTCTAGTGACCCGTCCTATAATCTCACGCATACTTACCCTGGACTGGAAGACCACTCGCTGGCTCCAGTAACCTCACCGACAAAGACATCACAGGCTCTTTGCAGCCCCTGGAAGCAAGAACCACTGCAAAGGGTGGATGACGAGGACGTCCCGGTGCAAACCGCATTGTACTGGGCGAAGGCATCGGATAACGAAGCAGACGTGGCTCCTCAGCCATCCGACCAGTACAGCTGCGATCCATTTGTCGACGATAATGAAACTGACAGCATTTATTTTCCCACCATCAATGAGATGGAGAAGGAAAGAGCAGATGAGATAGCCAGACTGAAGGGTGTGCTGTGGCCTGGAATGGATATATTTGACTCGGCTACCGAACAGATGAGACGCAGACGCAATCAGAAGAAGGACGAAAGCATCTTGAAGCTCATGGAAAAGACGTCCCTTTGTGTGGAGCCAACAGAGCTTGTCTTTTCCCCTACCGGAATTTTACGGAAGCAGCGTGTGATCTCAGGTAATGTTGAGGATAGTAGCCCCCTCAAAGGGGAGACGCCCGTTCCCAAACGTCGAGTAAATCGCCCCAAAAGAGTTCTCTCCCAAGTTGATCCTAATATCCAAAGTGGGCAAAATAGGAAACGAACCAGAAGGACTACCAAGCGCATTGAGAAACTGGTGGATAGAGATACAAGAGGAAGAGATACACAAATCCCCAAGGGATCCCTAGGGCCTCAGCGGCTGCATCGACATGGCAGTCGCGGGGATGACATGGACGAATTTGAATTATCTTTCAGAGGGACAAAGCTAAAACCTCGCACTGGATTTACCGTCTTTCATGATAGACCAAGTCAGTGTAATGCTGGTTCTACGGATCATAACCATGGCGGTGGAACTCATGCTGTGGCGTCGGCTCCCTCTCATCCTCTATACCTCCTCAAGGATTTCACACTTCATCATGATGCTTATCCACTATCATTTGGTGACCAATCTACCGCAGTGGCTGGACGAGCGCATGATTTGACCATGGGCAAGGAGAACATTGAACCACTCCTGGATGTTCGTGGCCGCATTGATCCTCTGATGGACTGGCAGTCCCCTTCCCTCACGGAGCATTTGACCAGCGGAATCTGTTACCCACCGCAGTACTTTTTTGGAGATTCTCGACCAGTCGGCTTCAGATCGTTCGATAACCAGGAAAGCCCCACTGGATATTCGTTCAACCCTTTGGCCGTTTCACTCTCTGGGTTGCCCGCTGACGATGGTCCAATGTATACTCCAAAACCAGAACTTAGATCGAACAACCAGTATGAAACACAGCTTGGCTCACCCGAGTCCACAATTTCGGACGTTGATGAAAGCGAGTTTGGCCGACTTTACCTGGACGGGAGCTCGTTCTAAGTTCTGGTCCTCGTCTGTGTGGCCTGAGTAGAGTTCGGTTTCTGCGGGTCAAACTATATCTTTATATGGCACCTGCACAATTTTAGTCGACTTCGGAACCAAAGCTGACATGGCTTTGTAGCTTGCTTCGCATTGCCTAATATACAAGCACTCCCGTTACGTGGTATGAATACTTGGGTGGTTAGTACTGCATTGGGGTCAAACTCAATGGTAGCCGCTATACATTGACTGTCGGACGACGCCCCTTGACACTGTATACTAGTATGTTATCATGTATAATAACTCCAACAACGTCATGCTTACACCAAGAGAAAGACAGGGGGACGAGGAGAGAGAAAGTGTGTACTTCGTCCAGAAAGAAGTAGTTCAGTGGCCGTTTCTGCCTCAGGCATAAAGATTATATCATCTTCAAGTGCAATTAAGGGGAACTACGCGTGACGGGCGTGACGGAGCTCCTCCACGCGTCAAGGTCGCCGACCCGCGGATACGCATTTGACGCTAAGGCGAATGCTTTGGCTCCGGATATCGTTTAATGCGATTTGATTGATGTCTTATATATCAATACTAAGGTCCTAGGCTGTTATCGGACTCTAGGGCGCGACCAGCAGGCGCTACCGCCACCGCGAACCCTTTCCCCTCGGTGTTGCTAAGATAATTTGTCTCGGCGACAGTCAGTGGTTTCGACCACACGGAGAAAATGCCTCTTCCCTCATCACAGACTTCTTCGTCACCGGGAGTGAAGCGGAAGCAGTCAACCCTCGCGAGTTTCTTCACGAAGAAACCACAAACAGCTCAACCTGCTCCAGTCAATGTCGTTGAAGAGAAAAACCCAGCCACAACCCCCGAGGAAGCGGACAATGAGGAACGAGCGCCAAAGAAAGATACCGCCCTGACCGATGATGAGGAGGATGACATAGTGGCACCGGCCCCTAAAAGAGCTAGAACAAACGGCCTTCACCCCGCAAGCAAAGAAGAGGTTCCGAAGTCAACATCCACTACAGAGCGACCACCGGCGTTGACTAGTAGCCAGAGGACTGAGATATTCAAATTCAGCAGCTCACCTGCGGTGAACACCGGAGCGGAAGGGCCGCAGGCGGCAGGTGAACTTGAGGCTAGACAAAGACAGAAGGAGAGAGAAGCGTTACACCAGAAGTTCGTTCGGAAATTGGGTGGTGCGGACTGCCTCATTGGCATTGGTAGAAATGCTATCAGCGAAGCTACACCCGAGGAGGGGGCTGAGGCCGAAGATGAGGAGGAAGCAGCACCACCTCCTGCCAAGGGCAAGGCTGCTGCAAAGAAAGGCGGAAGCAAGCTCACTCCAATGGAGAAGCAGGTCATCGACATCAAGCGCAAGCATATGGATACCGTCCTAGTAGTTGAAGTCGGCTACAAGTTCCGATTCTTTGGTGAAGATGCGAGAGTCGCCGCAAAGGAATTGTCTATAGTCTGTATCCCTGGAAAACTAAGATTTGACGAACGTAAGTATGGTTCCGTTGCCTCCTTTCCATCTCCTGCTTTATTGGTGAATCGTGCCTAACGTAGGTCTTGTCATATCTAGATCCTTCTGAAGCACACCTCGATCGTTTCGCCTCCGCTAGCATACCGGTTCACAGATTACACGTTCATGTAAAGCGCCTCGTTGCCGCAGGTCATAAGGTCGGCGTGGTGAGACAAATCGAGACTGCTGCTCTGAAAGCAGCGGGCGATAACCGCAATGCGCCTTTCGTGCGCAAACTCACGAACTTGTACACCAAGGGTACCTATATCGACGATGCGGAAGGCTTAGAAGGGTCTATGCCTGCAGCATCTGGTGGCGCCTCACCAGCAACCGGCTACTTGCTGTGCATTACCGAGACAAATGCAAAGGACTGGGGCAATGATGAGAAGGTTCAAGTGGGGATTGTAGCTGTCCAGCCGGCTACAGGAGATATTGTTTATGACGATTTCGAAGACGGATTCATGAGGAGCGAAATCGAAACGAGGTTGTTGCATATTGCACCATGCGAGCTTTTAATTGTTGGCGAGCTTTCCAAGGCTACTGAGAAGCTCGTCCAGCATCTCTCCGGCAGCAAGTTGAACGTCTTCGGGGACAAGACCCGCGTGGAAAGAGTGCCCAAGTCGAAGACTGCCGCCGCGGAGTCACACAGCCATGTCTCCAGCTTTTACGCAGGAAAGATGAAGACGGCCAGTGCTGCAGATGATGCACAGGCGAGTAGCCTACTTCAGAAGGTGCTCAATCTACCAGAGCAAGTGACTATTTGCCTTTCGTGCATGATTGAGCACATGAAAGAATACGGCTTGGAATATGTTTTCGAGTTGACCAAATACTTCCAACACTTTTCTTCCAGATCACACATGCTTCTGAATGGGAACACTCTGATGAGCCTCGAGATCTACCAAAATCAAACGGACCATACGACTAAGGGCAGTCTCTTCTGGACGCTTGATCGGACACAAACGCGGTTTGGACAGCGCATGCTCCGGAAATGGGTAGGACGTCCTCTGCTAGATAAGTCGAGGCTGGAAGAGAGGGTGAACGCCGTTGAAGAGCTGAAAAATCCAGAAAAGACGGTAATGGTAGAGCGGCTCAAGGGGTTGCTTGGAAAGGTTAAGAGCGACTTGGAAAAGAGCTTGATCCGGATCTATTACGGCAAGGTTAGTTCTCCGTCTCTACCTTTTATCACCTGAATAAAGACTAACAAGACAACCAGTGTACTCGACCGGAACTCCTCACCGTTTTGCAGACGATGCAAATGATTGCGCAAGAATTCTCTGACGTGAAGTCACCTGCGGATACCGGTTTTGCGTCTGCTGCCATTAATGAAGCGATCACTTGTCTCCCGGCGATCCTGGAAGACGTTATAGCTTTTCTTGACAAGATTAATTTGCATGCTGCGAAGAGGGATGATAAGTATGCCTTCTTTCGCGAAACCGAAGAGACAGAAGACATCAGTGACCAAAAGCTCGGCATTGCAAGTGTTGAACACGAGCTAGAGGAGCATCGCTCTGTTGCTGGCCAGAAGCTCGGGAAGAAGACGGTCGAATACAAGTCTGTTGCGGGAATTGATTATTTGATTGAAGTCGAGAACAGCTCGGCTTCCATTAAACGTGTGCCTGCATCATGGGTGAAAGTGAGCGGCACCAAGAAAGTATCAAGGTTTCATACGCCGGAAGTCATTCAGCTCATGCGACAGCGTGACCAGCACAAAGAAGCGTTGGCCGCGGCGTGTGACAAGGCGTTTATATCCCTTCTCGCTGATATAGCAACTAAATACCAGCCCTTCCGGGATAGTGTGCAGGCATTGGCCACGCTTGACTGCTTGATAGCTCTGGCGACTATAGCTAGTCAACCGGGTTACGTGAAGCCCGAATATACGGACCATACGTGCATCCAAGTGGACCAGGGACGTCACCCAATGGTCGAGCAGTTACTGTTGGACAGTTATGTGCCAAACGACATCGACTTGGACAGCGACAAGACACGCGCTCTTCTGGTCACCGGACCCAACATGGGCGGAAAGTCCAGTTATGTACGACAAGTAGCGCTCATCGCCATCATGGGGCAAATAGGTTCTTATGTTCCCGCGCAGTCGGCCAAGCTTGGTATGTTGGACGCTGTATTCACACGCATGGGTGCTTTCGACAACATGCTAGCTGGCGAGTCTACCTTCATGGTCGAGCTTTCCGAGACCGCAGACATCCTCAAGCAGGCGACTCCACGGTCACTTGTCATTCTGGATGAACTGGGCCGGGGCACGTCCACGCATGATGGTGTTGCAATTGCACAAGCTGTGCTTGACTACATGGTACGGTCGATTCGAAGCCTTACGCTTTTCATCACCCATTATCAACACCTCTCTTCAATGGTCCATACCTTCGCAGACCACGAACTACGCAACGTGCACATGCGGTTTACCGAATCAGGTACCGGAACAGACGAAGAGATCACATTCCTCTACGAAGTAGGTGAGGGCGTGGCACACCGCAGCTACGGGCTGAACGTCGCGCGGTTAGCAAACCTGCCAGGGCCATTGCTGGACCAAGCCCGGCAGAAGAGTAAAGAATTGGAGGAGAAAATCCGCCGGCGGAAACTGGCTGGTCTTGTGACGGCCGTCGGAGAGGTCATGGAAGGCACCAAGGATGGAAATATGATTGAGCGCCTCATCAGCAGCGCCGAGCAGCTGTAATAAGCATATTGATGTGTTGTTATTGCTTTCTATCGAGATGAGCGTATTGGCGGCGTTGCATGATCAAAAGTGTTAGGCTTTAGACGTAGATTTATGAATATCAATCAAAGACTCGTGATAAGCGGGGTCTCCACAACGCTGTTTCATTCAGCTTCTACATGTAGGGCAGTGATATCTACGATGGGTAAGAGGCAGAATGGACATGTGAATCGTAAGCCAGGACTCACTCACGAGACACCGACACAAGGTATAATGTCCCCGCAGACCTTATTCCCATAATACCACCTAAGATCCAAACCGAGCAAGTTCACATAAAGGTCCATCCGATTCGAGTGCATCGTGCATACAACACGAGGGAGAAAAATTAAGAAGAAATAAGGGGGTAATCTAGACAGAGACTTGATGAATAGAAGATCACCTCGCGCCCGTGGGGATTTCAAATTTTTTTCCTTCGTTTTTTGTATTTCAGGTTGATAGCCTCGTTTTTTTCTTCTCTTGTTTCTCTCTCTCTCACTTTCGCTCTATATGAAGTCCAGTTGTAGGAAAGTTATGAGTTCTGGACACACAACAGGAATGATAAGAAGAAAAGAAGAAAAAACAACAAAAGAATTTTTGTCAAACGAAGCCATAACAACCCGGATGCCGCATCAGCCCATAAGATAAGATAGTTCTTCTTTTTTTGCCTTCCCGACCAGACCTCCCAGAATAATCATTTCCAACGCAAGCAAGGGTACATAGCCTCGAGAGGGAAAAAGATGTTGACGAAAACTCGGAGTTGTTGGTAAAGGAAATTAACGGAGACGGCGGGCCTCGCGTTCGGACTCGAGCAGGCAGAGGATGTCGTCGACCTTGACTGTTTGCGACGAAGAAAGGGTTTGGTTAGCTTGGTGTGTGCCATATATGGGTTGGGTTTGAAGATGATGGAGCGACTGGTTGATTGGTTGGTTGGCTGGATGGACTGAATGCGATATTTCTTTCCCCGTGGAGTTGAGATTATCCCGCGATACTGCTTGTCCTTCTTTTCCCCCTCTTCAGTTCCTGCGTGCGTTGTGTTGGGTTCGGAGATTCGTACTGTTCGCTGATAGAATCGTGGGTGTTGTTGATTTCCGATGCGTGCGCACTTTTTCTTTTCACTCTTTGCCATTCTTCTCGCGGGATTCTTCTTTCTCTTCGTGGGGAAATAATTCGAATCGGTCCAACCAGCGCCACCACCATAGCCGTAGGAAATGTATATCATCAATTGTAATCAACGGAGAAATCGCATACCTGGGCCCTTGACGTTACGGATGATGCTGCGGGAAGTGTCGTCCATGAACTCGACGCGGACCTGGGTGACACCACCACGGGATCCTATATATTGAAATGCTCGTTAGAATCTTCTCTCAAGCCATATGTGCCATCCACACGCCGTCGCGGAAACACCGCAATTTGTATATATCCCAGGCGAAAGGCATCGAAATTCGATAAATTGAGAAATTCACGACGTACCGGTACGGCCGAGGACACGGGTGACCTTGACGAGCTTAGCGGGCTGCTTGGCGGAATCCATCTTGGAGTTGGGCTTGACGACAGCGAAGGACTGACGGGATGCGTGAAGATGGCGTTTTGGGGGGGTTGGCAGAAGTTGAAGCCGTTCGTGAAAATCGATGGATTTGCGGCTTGTGTGGGTTGGGTTTCTGTTTTGGGCTAAAGGCGAGGGCTCAGGGCTAATGTGGCCTGAGCCGTCAGGCAGTCAACTAAAGCTGGAATGTCAGGCCGGTGATGAGGTAATCGACTTTCTCTTGTAGCCTGATATATGAGGCAGAAGTGTCAGGCAGCAAGTAACCCTGAATCTTGCTGGCCTGAGGTATCTGTGCAATGCGGGCCCCTCCGATGACGGGATTTCAGACTCTTTTCTGCGGCATCTTCTTCCTCTTCCGCTACGCTGCTTATTCCCCTCTCTTCCTCTCACTCCCTCTGACTCCTGCTTAACTCTTGTTTTTCTGTTCGCAATACCCCTTTTAGGATATTCGACAGTCTCTTAGATCTTGGATCTATATCTAATTCTTCAATTGCTCCCTTTCTTTTCTTCCCTGTCATCTCCAATTCCTCGCCGGATTACCCCGCGCCGTTGATCGTCAGTATGGATCTCGTCAACCAGTGAGTCAATTGCCCCGTAGCAAGCTTTGAACCCCACGATCACAGCATGCTATTCGCTCTATACATATATCATTACTAACATATCTCCTATAGCCTCGAAGGAAGACTGCTCTTTGCTGTCCCCAAAAGCAAGTTCCCGCCATGACTCACTCCCTGACCGCAAAGCACCCCCAAATTGCCCAACCCACCAATGGCCCCTAAATCAAGCACCGGACTAACGCCTGTCTTGCCTGAACAGAGGGCCGTCTCCAACAAGCTACGCTGGACCTCCTGGCCGGCTGCGACATCCAGTTCCGTCGCGAAACCCGCCTGGACATCGCTCTGGTCAAGAACCTTCCCATCGCCCTCATCTTCCTTCCCGCCGCAGATATCCCCACCTTCGTCGGTGAAGGCCGTGTTGATCTCGGTATCACCGGTCGCGACCAGATCGCCGAACACGATGCGCTGCTGCCCCGCGGCGAAGTCTCCAACGTGGAGGAGGTCATGGACCTTGGCTTCGGCGGCTGCAAGCTCCAGGTGCAGGTCCCGGAGAAGGGCGACATCACTGAGGCCAAGCAGCTGATTGGTCGCAACATCGTCACCAGCTTCACTGCTCTCACTGAGGCGTTCTTTGCCAAGCTCGAGGGCAAGAGTGATGCTGACAAGAGCGAGCTCAGCACTAAGATCAAGTACGTCGGCGGCAGTGTTGAGGCTGCTTGCGCTCTGGGTGTTGCTGACGGCATCGTCGATCTTGTTGGTATGATCAATGATCCTCATTCGTAGCATTATCATGCCAGTCAGCAACTAACCAATGTCTACAGAGTCCGGTGAGACCATGAAGGCCGCTGGTCTCAAGGCCATCGACACCGTCGTCGAGACCATCTCCGTCCTGGTCAAGTCCAAGAAGACCCAGAACCCTCTGGTTGACCTGATCGCTTCCCGTATTCGCGGTGTCATCAGTAAGTTCCTACCATCTATTTCTTTGTATAACCCGACCAGTCCTATTGACTCTTCTCCTCTCTGCAGCCGCCCAAAAATACGTCCTGTGCCAGTACAACATCCCCCGCGGAGAACTGGCCACCGCCTCCAAGATCACCCCCGGCAAGCGCGCACCCACGGTGACCGCCCTGGAAGAAGACGGCTGGGTTGCCGTCAGCTCGATGGTCGAGAAGAAGAAGATCGCGACGGTCATGGACGACCTGACCAAGGTTGGCGCAACAGATATTCTGGTCCTGAACATCGCCAACTCGAGAACGGGTTAAGCTTGAAGTCAATTTTCGTTGTTTTGCAATTTTTTTCTCTTGTCATGTATAGGGCGCGCTTCTTCTCTTCTTTCGCATTATATGTTTTTTCTTCTCTTTTCTTATGATCAAAATATTATCGGCATTCTAGATGGTTAGACAGACGGGTATAATCGAGTTCATGAGATACGGTTCATTGATTAGAGTTGATGTCTTTTTTTCATGGGTCTGATGTATGATCGGTGTGGGGATATATCTATCGATGAGATATTATAGAAGGGTAGGTTGGTAGTAGATGATTTCAGAATTGGATGGTTGCTGAGAAAGAAGAAGAAGGATAGAACCTATCAGATAATCTCAGACCCCGCACATTCAATCCTGCAGGATCCCGAGGATCCATACTACTAATTCTCGGATACTGTCAAGGATGATCATAGTATTGACTGGCATACCTGCATACCTCTCTTGGGACTAGCAGGTTTCGATGTGCTAAGTTCAATGTATTACTTACTACTACTAGTAGTATCTCCTTGAAGGAAACTCACGATCTGTATGCGCTGGATAGTACTATACTCAGCTTGAATTGTCAATTGAGATTCAGACATTCCTACTAGGGAGTAGTGTTACTACCTATTAATCATATGCTCATAGTATTACTATCTGTAGACCGGCGATATATATAATAGTACTAGTACCATTATACTCGAAGAGGGTAAATTAGAAAGGAATATCGTTTCTAAAGCGATTGAAGATAGCCATGAACAGAACAGCTCTTTAAATTGTAGATGATATAATATACAGACTAAATCTAGTCATGGATATTGTATGAACATGGTGATGATAAATGGGTTGCTGTTTCAGCTTCAAAACCACCGACATATCAATACACTGTTTGTATATACCATATGAATATTGTTTCATTATTCATTTCATAGTCGTCATAAACAGGATAATGCAGTGCGAACAATATTTATAATGATAGGGGTATCGTTTCTAGTATGTATAGGCGGGAATAACAATGACCATATGTATGTATGCATGTTGTCTTGTTGGGAGGGGAGAGAAAATGAGAGATTTGAGGATGATGAATCATGACGAAGATGATGATTGTTGCTGGGAAGAATCACCTCCCAGTCCAACACCCTCTTGTCGGCCTCTGACTAACGCCAGAAGACACTGACCCACGCCTTCTAGGTCGCCTAGAAGTCCGACATGGCCACGGTCGCTCTTAACCAATCCACCCTTGATGATCCGGTATCCCGGCGGCAGCATGGCCGCGGAGGCAAGACAGACGCCGTCGCCGGCGGCGAACGCCAGATCGTCGTAGGCGTCTTGGTATGGGATGCGCTCGCGCGATTCGACGCGAGCGCCGTAGACGGTGGGCACGGACTTGCCGTATAGCACGGCAAAGGGTGGGTATTCGTTTTGAGACTGATGCGAGGAGTTGAATGCAAGCTCTTGCTTGAACCGAAGGACCTCTGCGAGCGTGCGCTCTAGATAAGTCACGGCTGTTGCACGGGGTATGGTCGTGGTTGTGGTAGCCTTGGTATTGGCTGAGCCCTTGAAATTGGAGGTTGGTCCTACCGCGCTCTCCAGGTTCGGGGCAGAGACCGGTGCATATTTTCTGGTGGACTCATTGGAGGGATTTGCTGTTTCGTTAGGGTTCTGGGTGTGATTGTGTGATGCTTGCTCGCCATTGGCATCATCCGTCGAGGATAGACTATCCTTGCTGCCTAGGACGGTGGAGATGCGCTTTCCGAGAAGAGGGAGGTTGTCCTTGAAGCCTCTGCTGTTTGGTAGTGGAAGGGCTGGATTGATACAAGGAGAGAGCCGATAGTCGTCCCACGCCTGGGCCGAGAAAAAGTCCACACGGTACTCTTCCCTCGTGCGCTTGTTGATGAAGCAGTGTCCGTCCTCTGGAAGGAGGGCGAAGCTGGTACGGAAGGTGAAGTTCACCTGAGCTGTAAGGACGCGGGAACTAAGCAGCACATCGTCTCCATTACGGAGAGGGCCCAAGATGTTGACACAGTGCTGCGGGACGCCCGCATAGAGGACTCCTGCGAAGAGATCCGGTCGCTGATTAACGGCATGCCGTGTGATGAGGCCGCCCAAACTGTGGGCGATGACATAGGCCCCGCGCTTTTCGCGGGGAACGTCTGGGGAGTTACAGGGCAAGCCTTCGAGAAACTTGACTAATCGCTTAGCAAGTAAATGCGGACTCAACCGCCAGTCGTAGCCATAATCGTGGACTCGGAGGTCACCATTGACGGCGTTCGGGCACTTTTGAAGGCGTTTCATCAGCCGGCGGCAGATGTCGACTGGGCCAACATGGGACAACACGCCGGACGGAATGATGGTTTCTTCCATGCGTTCCTCATCTTCCGGGTTTAAGCCCACCTCCAGATCCACCTTGCGAAGATTCAGGCCGACTTTCATCGGAACCCACAGTTGGCGTTGCGGCGGTTTGGCGGACCGCAAGACTGAGCCTCGATAGCCTCCCAGGATCACGACATCACCGGTCATTTCGGCCATGGCCTCAGTCAAATTGGGGTACTGTGCACTAATACTGGTCCGTGGAGAACGGGCCCGAGGTGGGATCGAATCATCACCCGGCATCTCCCGAGCAGCAGGCGGCTGCTCTGGCGTGGCGTAGGTGTGGCCCCTGCGATTAGTGACATCGGACAGAAATGGCTTATAGCCCCAATCACTTCGGAAGTCTTGCAGGTGCAGCGTGGGCATACTGAGTAGCCGACTGCTGGAATCCTGGAGGCTGTCCTTGATCGCCTTGAACCGGCTGTTGACTTGCGAATGGATATGCTCATAACGGGGACGCTGTTCGAGCGACGATGCGGTTGACGAAGCTCTCAGGTATAAAGACTGGTCTGAAGATGATCTCCGTAGGAGAGAAGGTGGGCGGCCTGTTGTGCTGGGCCTTCGCGCATAAGAGTGTCTAGCGGTCGTGGCACCCCCGAGAGGATCGAGTTCAGAGACTTGCTCCTCGGGGCTATCTCTGGATTCAGGATCGGAGAACGATTTCCGCCGGGACTGCAGCGCTGATTCGTCTTTTTCTTGTTCCAATGCCAGCTTCGACACGGGCTTTAGGGTCTGACTGCGAGCCCGGACTTGCGATGACGAGCCGGGTCGGAAAGAAAGCGATGATCGTTTAGTCAATAGATCTGGCAGGAACTTC